CCGCGCAGCACAACGAAAATGCGATTTTTTGTTCTACCTTGCGAGCGAAATATCACTCCTACCTGTAAAGCATGCGTCAGCCGGTCCTTGTACCGAAGAATGAATGCAATTAGGTACGAAAGTAATTGGATTTGAATGATACGAAATGTATGAATAAGAACGAAATGCGAGGGTTTGCGTTACAACCACTGTAGTTTGAAATCGTCGACCGACGTTCCAGATAAAGGTCGACTAGGGCAATAAATATCTGGCAAACGTTAAGCGTAGAAACATTTCGAATATACGTATATCGTTAATAATTAATATACGCGGGGCTAGTATTTAATAGATGTACCAAAAACATGCGCATATATTTGCGATTTAACGATAACGATAAAATATCGATTGCCTTTCTATCACGTAAACCGCAGAAACGCGAATAAAGAACGGAATAATTAATAATCATTTAATACCTCAAATTAAACATCTATCGTGATTATACCTTTTTCGATACTGGAAACAGAGGCACGATGTCATGAAACTATTAACGAACGCCATTCGAGATTATCTGCAGTGCGAAAATATATGCGTTCAAAATTATCGCATGAAAAGATAGATGAGAAGGAACGTCGGCTAATAATAATGTATAATCGTTTAAAGAACGAATCTGCTGAGGAACGATCACGTAGGCTGAGATTAATCCATAGGCGTTTATCCAATCAATGTATTGAAGAACGTTCACATCGTCTAATGCTCATGAAAAATTGTAATCGTGAAGTATTATTAAGGGAAAATACCGAATCAAAAAATACACGTTTAAGAAATATGAGCGAACTAGCTAAAAACCGAAAGAAAGAACGTTTCCTCCAGGAAGACTACTTTGAATCGGCTATTAATATTTTTGCTGATGTACCGTGTGCAGTGTGTTACCAGACTTTGTAGACGTTGGTCAGAATGTAGCTATTTTGCGAGGCACGTTTCACTTCAGTATCGAATCTTGTGGTAAGCAGTGTACTGGCATAGCTGCAGTTGCATGTGTTGCGTTCCATTCCCTTGATCCTAGAACGTGGTATACTAGTGATGTCGATTATGTGGTTATAGTAGCAGATAAATATTATCGTGACTGCATTAAAGCACGAAGTAATTCTAACCGCAACGAAATCAATGTAAACTATTTAGCCGTAACTGAATTATTGTCACAAATATCATTTAATAATAGGCGAGTCAATATTAACGTTGACTATGAAATGTCTGTAAGCAGTCACATTGATATTGATGACGGTGATGATGGATTTCCAAATTTAAAAAATGGTTTGATTACATTTTTGCAACGGTACATGTACGGAATTCTTACTGCCAATCTTACATGAATAGCTGTATCATGCAGCAACCAGTCGGAGACCACCAGCTATTGGTTGTTTGATTCCCATGCAAGAGGTCCAAAAGGATATAAAGCACCGTTACGGGGCGCCTCATGCAGTATGAAATTTACTACTATTGATGTTTTACACGCCACCTTGCGTCGTAATTTGTATGCAAAAGATGGCATCATTAATGTATTAAATATCTACTCATTAACACCTGTAACAATTGTATCCGAGAGAAATAGATCTTCATTGGTAGAAAGAATGCAACATCTATCAGTTGTTACCCCACGAAATGAATCTGACGAAACACGAATTATTTTCGAAACAAGCATGTTACGTTTGATTGACGAAGATGTTCCCAACATCGATAATATCGTCTCTGTCAGTAATAATAATAATAATAACGCAGAAAATAAGCCGATACAACTGGCAAATAAACATAGAAAAACAGCGCCTCCTTTGAACCTAGGGAGGGAGAGAGAATGGAAGAACTGTGTTGATACTTTCTGTTTCCAGATGGAGAAAATGGATTCAGAGAGCATCGAGACATTCCAATAACACCATTAGATTACTTCCAAGCACGTATTCTGGGCAATGACAAACGGTTCCAACGAACAGATTATCTGTTCTTCGCATTATTTGTGGTTGAATATTACCGCACAAAAGCTAGCATTTCAGTATCATGTAGAATGCGCCAAGGTGAATATACTCCAGAGGGATTAGTAGACAATATACATCTTACAATGAGAAACATAAGAGGATCGGCATTATACTGGAAACGTTGCTGTTCGGAATTAATCGCCATGGTCCGAAGTTCTCGATAGCCCACATGGTTTGCTTCGTTCTCTTGTAATTGTCTAAACTGGCCAGATATGTTGAAGGCATTACTACAACCAATCAACGACCGAACCTGTAGACCTAACGTTTGCAGATCGAGTACAGTTGGTTCAGAGATACCTGGTAGTTATCGCAAGACAATTTACGTTACGCGTAACGTAAATGCAGTATTTGAAAAACTCGCATTACTTTGGCGGCGTTGTCGCCGATTTTTGGTATAGAATTGAATTTCAAAATAGGGGAAGTCTACATTTGCACATGCTTATTTGGTGTACATACGTACCTGCTTTCTTAACGAACGAAGGCCAAAACGTTATTGAGAAAGTTGTATCTTGTTCATTGGAAGTCGAAAATCACGATATGAACGATATAGTCCAAGAAGTCCAAATTCATAAACATTCTCATACACGTTACAAAGGTCGCAATAATCGTTGTTGTCGATTTGCATTCCCCAGACCGATAAGTGAAAGAACGATGTGCTTAGGCCCAGATGACACACTTGCCAACAACGGGCGTTTCTGCGTACTTAAGAGAACCGCAAATGAAGTTCTGGTGAATAATTACAACCCACTGTTTTAAAGCTTTGGGAAGCAAACATGGATATTCAACCATGCGGAAATGTTACAGCCGTCGCATATTATGTTGCTAAATACGCAAGTGAATGCGTGCCGCAGGACACAGGGAATATTATTAAAGAAGCCGTTTTACGAGCGAAACAGCGGAACGATACTATCCAAAATCAACTATTTTCGGTATCTATGGCAATTCTATCTCTACGTATGGTCAATGCTATAGAATGCTTATAGATTATGCCATTTGCCTCTTAAAATGAGCTCGCGAAACGCTGTATTTATAAACAGCTGTCGGCCTGAGCAGAGATATAGAATACTGCGATTTGAAAAAAATGGAACATTATTTTTCAATAACATATTTAATCGTTACGTAAAGAGGCCAGACAATCTAGAGAACTTGAGTTTAGCCGAATTTGCTATCTGATATGAAACAGTTTCAAGTGAAATATGGACAGAAGAGGATGGCAACGCAGAACTTAGAAATGACGATGAAGAAATTTCGAGATCAAAGTTTATAAAAATGAAGGACCATACCCGAATGCGAATAAGAAATAATGCAGCTGTACTCTGCCATCGATATTATACCCTGAACAGTGATAGAGAAGGATACTTCTATAACTTAATAGTGTGTCACATTCCACTTTGTGATGAAAGTACACTTATATTCGAAAACGAATGTTGGTGAAATTCCCCAAACTGTGTCAGCCCACGAAGTTGGCAACGAAAGTATTTCGTCGATGCGTCGTTACCGATAGCGGCAGCACCTCTCGGGCCCACTTTGTCCACGCTGTCCCCTCTCCACGCGCTTGCCGGCACGATCGACGCCATCATTGATTGTGTTGTTCTTGTTCGTACGCTCGCCGTGTAACCACGGGTTTTCGGTCCACGCGAGAAATTACGATTCTGGTACGCAGTTTTACACATTCCAACCACGCGATACTCAAAGTTCTGTCCGCGCTGTGCATCGTTGATACTGTCCATGCACCCTTTAATTATAATCGACTAATATTAAGTGTATATTTGTTTTCTGACCACGCTTATTTTGTGTTGTAAGGATGTTCGCTTGTATTTGCTATTTTGTGTCATTAAACTTTCTGTAAACTCCACAAAGTGCGTATTCCCTTGCAGCCCGCTCCGACCACGCGATTTTCCGAACATTTGGTCCTTCGAGCCGGATGGTGGTACGCCTTTGTACAACGGCTCGTGACGCGTAACGGTTACGCTCGCCGCCATTACGCGTTGTGCCTGCTTCGCACAGTTCAAGTGATTAGACGCTTTACTGACTTGTGCGCGACAACGGAGACTGTGACTCTATTAGTGAAATAAGTGAACACGCAGAAACAGTTCGGTAAAGTGCTGTGATATTTTACGATGCCGAAATCACGCGATCCCTCGCCTGCTTCTCAGGACGATTCGCTTCGTTCAAACAGAACGGAAGAGGAGGCGCCCGCAGCGCCCTCATGGCTGCAAGTCCCAGAAGATACGCGTCCGGGAACGCCAGCAACACGTCCGCCCACGCCGAACGCTCCGGCTCTCGCTCAGCTGAGCGAAGAAACATCGCTGCCCTCGCAGATCGCTCGCACGCGATCACCCACACGGGTCACGTCGGAACTCCAGGTGCGCGCCCGGGTCCAGGAAGACCGCCTGGACACCATCATTGGCATCGTCGAGGAGCTGCAAGCTGCTGCGGCCAAGGAGCCTCTGACCATTATGGAAGAGGAGGTAAAGATAACGCGGGACTCTCTGTTGCAACTCCATGTTGCATTCCATCAGGAACACAACATCCTCAGCCGCCAATGGCCAGTGTCACAACTGGAGCATGGCTACTTTAAGACGAAGGTGGCCTCCTCGAAAGAGCGCATGGTGCTGACGGCGCGGAAACTCCTTGCGCAGCTGGAAAATCGGCCTAGCGCAGGCCAAGCAGGCCCAGCAGATCACGCAGCAACCTCAGCCCACGCAGACCACGCCGCCCTCGCAGATGCGCTCTCGCTTGCCAGAGCTGACTCTCCCAACCTTTGAGGGAGAGTACAGCAAGTGGCAAGAGTTCAAAACTCGCTTCGCATCGGTCATCAGCAACAGAACAGAGCTGTCCGGTATAGACCGGCTACACTACCTGAAGGGAGCGGTGACGGGGAGCGCAGCTCAATTAATCTCACACCTGCCCGCGACTGACGAAGCGTTCACCCAGGCTTGGCAGCTCCTGGATGCTCGCTTCGAAAATAAGAGGCTCAATGTGCAATCACACATGCACCGATTGCACAACCTGAAGCCTATGAAGACCAGGAGGGCGGCGTCGTTGACCAAGATGGTCAGCATCGTCCAAGAGACGCAGCAGGCGCTGAAATCATTCAAGCTCGCCGATGACCACAATTGCTATCTGCTGAATGGTCTAGTACGCCTTCTGGATACAGATACACGCGAGCATTGGGAGCAATCACTCGCATCGCAGAAGGAGTACCCCACGCTGCCACAAATGACAACGTTCCTGCTCGAACGCGCTGGTACTCTGGAGCAACTCGAACGGTTGTCAGAAGCTCGTCCGTTTCCGACCACGCCAGCTACTTCCACGCGGACCACGCATGCCTCTACGCAGCCGAGGACGACCGCTCGCGCCGCCCACGCAGCAACAACTCAGCCCTCGCCGGCACCCGCATCAGGCCGCTCCGAAGTCACCAGACCACGCACTTCGGCACTCTACCCGTGTGCCTTCTGTACGCACGACCACTTCCTGGCAGCGTGTCCCCCATTCAGGCAGTTGACACTGAATGACAGGGTTAATGTCATCAAGGACAAACAACTTTGTGTCAACTGTCTGGGACACCATAACCTCAGGAGCTGCCGCACCGCACAGCGCTGCAAACTTTGCAGTGAGCAGCATCACACGATACTGCCCACTCAACCCACGCATCAAAGGAACTCTCAGCACACGCACCCCGACCACGCAGACCACGGACCACACTTCTAGCAACGGCACTCGCCAGAGTGCACACTGACCTCGCAACGCAGCAAGTAAGAATTCTGGTCGACTCAGGCTCTGAAGTCTCTCTTATTTCAGAGTCATTAGTAAATCAGCTTAGACTCAGACGACAAGGCTCCTCATTGGATGTCCACAGAGTTGGTGGAGCAAGGACCTCGCAGACCAATGGAGTGGTCAATATTACCCTCCATTCAAACTACAGACCACTCTCAATCACCGTTCACGCGCACGTGCTTGCGAAGGTGACCACTTGCTTACCATCGGACCCACCAGCTCGTACAACGCTGCCATCGCATCTGGAGAAATTGAATCTAGCAGATCCTCAATTTCTCGTATCCAGACCGGTGGACATCATTCTCGGAGCCGACGCATACGGGCAAGTCATCAAGCCAAACATTATTCGGCACGCTTCAACACCGCTGATCGCTCAACTGTCAATCTTCGGTTGGCTCATAATCGGGCCCCTCGAGGGCTCTCAGACAGTTCGCAGGACTTCTCATCAGGTGACAGTCAATAATACTGATCGCTAACTGAGTGAGTTACTCAGCCGCTTCTGGACGCAGGGAGAGCCACCGCAGCACACGGCACCCTTGCTCACACCAGATGAGCAAGAGGGCGAAGATCATTTCAAGACCAAGCATTCAAGGGACTCTGCAGGAAGATACATCGTGCGATTGCCGTTCAAACTCCATCCTCGAACACTCGGCAACTCGTATCAGACGGCGCACAACTGTCTTCAGCGGATCGTCAGACGACTCAGCAAGGACGTCCAGTACAATCAGCTGTACACCAAGTTCATGCTCGAGTATGAGCAACTTGGCCATATGGTAAGACTGAACAACGACTCAATAACTAGTCCGTTTCAGTACTTTCTTCCGCATCATGGCGTTCTGAAGTTGGGCAGCACGACCACCGCATTGCGTGTGGTGTTCAACGGCTCCAGTCCAACTTCATCTGGATTCTCACTGAATGATCTTCTTCACACGGGACCTAATCTGATGCTGAACATCACAGATCTACTCATCTGGATACGCAGATACAAATATCTGTTTGCAACTGACGTCACGAAGATGTACCGAAAAATCAAGGTGCATCCGGATGATTGGAGCTTGCAGCAGATACTCTGGCTTGATGACAAGCAGAAGGAAACGCAGTACCAGCTGACCACGGTCACGTACGGGACGAAAGCTGCACCTTACTTGGCTGTCCGAACACACCTGCAACTCGCTGAGGATGAGGGGTCGAAATACCCCCTCGCTGTTGAGCCCATCAGAAACGGCAGGTATGTAGATGATATTTTTGGTGGTGCAGATACAGCAGAGCATCTACAAGACGTTGCAAATCAGCTGACGCAACTCTCTCAAGCTGGTGGATTTCCATTGGCAAAATGGCATTCCACGAGCAAATCGTTGCTAGAAGACCTCGCACCAGAACCGAACAACGCAGCAATCTCATTCGACGACTGCGCAACCAAAATTCTCGGAATTAAATGAATTCCACATCAGGACACGTTCAACGTCTCGACCATATCAGCTACTCAACGCACGCAGTTCACGAAACGCCTCGTCCTCTCAGAAGTAGCACAACTCTTTGATCCACTCGGTTTTGTTGCACCTATAATTATCAGAGCTAAACTTCTTATTCAAGAGCTTTGGTTACAGGAACTCAGTTGGGACGACATCCTGCCGCTTCATATCACTCAACAATGGTTACGCATCAGGGAAGATCTAACTAGCTTGGCCAAGCTTTCCATCCCACGATGGTTCAACACCACGACCACGTCGACAGTTGAACTTCATGGCTTCGCTAATGCATCAGTCCTCGCAATGGCAGCTGTCGTCTACCTCGTTGTACACGCACCGTCCACGGGTACCCAAGTTTTGCTTATCTGCTCGAAAACGCGAGTGACACCATTCAAACGTCTGACCATCCCGAGGTTGGAACTCACAGTAGCGCTGCTACTTTCAAAACTGATGCGGCATGTTCACGCTACTTTGAACATGACCGTCACTCAGACATTTTTGTGGACGGACTCAGAAGTCACGCTTGCATGGATCAAGACGCACCCCTCCAAATGGAAGGATTACGTTCGCAACAGGGTAATCCAGATCCAGGGGATTACGCAGAACTTTCACTGGAGGCATGTACCAGGATCATCGAATCCAGCTGACTGCGCGTCAAGAGGCATGGCGACGGACCAGTTACAGCAGCACTCGCTTTGGTGGACGGGACCACCGTGGATCACGCAATCTCAGGACGCGTGGCCCAAGCAGACCAGTGTCGACGCAGACGATTTGGGCGCCCCTGAAGCTCGTGCTGTCGTCTCACTCCACACGGCAAACGCAGTTAAAGAATATTCATGGGAATTAATCTATAAATATTCTTGTATTAACAGATTACTCAGAATCACCGCTCGTTGCCTCAAATTCGTGGACAAGCTGTTTAAACGACAGGACGCTACGCCCACGCACTTCATCTCTGCAGCTGATATGGAAGGGGCCAGAATCTACTAGATTCAGACCACGCAGTCCGCATTCTTCAAAGACGAACTCGCTGCACTCGCAAAAGGAACAACGCTTCCGTCGACGCATCCATTTACGAGGCTCACCGCTTACCTTGACCATCAAGGGATCGCCAGAGTAGGCGGAGGCCTCCAACACTCAGAGCTTTCGCACGACGGCAAACATCCTGTCATCTTGCCTCGTGATTCAAGATTCTCAGCGCTTCTTATCGACCACGCACATCGTCAGACCATGCATGGAGGTACGCAATCCACCCTCGCTTTTTTCAGACAACGCTATTGGATTCTCGGTGGACGAGCTCCAGTGAAAGCACATATCCTGCGGTGCGTGAAGTGCGCTCGGCAGAGGGGGATCCGTGCCCATCAACTGATGGGCCAACTACCTCTTTGTCGGGTCACTCCATTGCGCCCGTTCACACACAGTGGTGTGGACTACGCAGGACCGCTCACGCTGAAGACTTGGAAAGGCAGAGGAGCCAAGACGCAGAAGGGGTGGATTTGCGTATTCGTCTGCTTCACAACATCAGCCGTGCACTTCAAAGTTGTCACCGAATACTCAGCCGACGCATTCATCGCAGCCTATCGCAGATTCGCAGCAAGAAGAGGAACTGCAGCCTCTCTCTACTCAGATTGCGGCACCAACTTCCAAGGAGCAGACGCGCAGTTAAAAAAGCAGTTTAAGGACAGCACACGCGAAAATCAAGACATCGCAGCTCTACTCGCCAAGGATGGTACGCAGTGGCACTTCAATCCTCCTGCCGCTCCACACATGGGTGGAAAATGGGAGGCGGTGGTCAAGTCTCTCAAATTCCATCTGAAGAGGACGATTGGAAATGCTTTATTGACGTTCGAGGAATCAATAACATTGCTCGCGCAGATTGAAGCCATCCTCAATTCAAGACCGTTGGAACCACTCAGCGATGATCCAGACGACGTCTCAGCCCTCTCACCAGGACATTTCCTGATTGGATCGCCGCTGAACGCAGTTCCAGAGCCAACACTTCTCGACGTCGCAGCCGATAGGTTATCAAGGCAGCATTTTCTGTAGCAGCGCCTTCAACAATTTTGGAGACTCTGGTCCACGCAGTACCTGCAGCGACTCCCGGCCTTCTCTAAATGGCATCACCCGTCCAACGAGATCAAGGTAAGCTCTCTTGTTCTCATTACTGATGCACGCTTGCCCCCAGGGATATGGCCCATGGCACGGATTCTCAGACTCCTGCCAGGCAAGGACGGATTGACCAGAGTCGTCGAACTCAAGACGACCACCACGACGCTCACGCGGCCCATTGCCAAGCTAGCTCTTCTTCATCAGCCCTCTCAGGACAGCTCGGACACGCAGACCACATCACTGACCAGTCGCTGATGGCCGGGGGGAAATGTTGGTGAAATTCCCCAAACTGTGTCAGCCCACGAAGTTGGCAACGAAAGTATTTCGTCGGTGCGTCGTTACCGATAGCGGCAGCACCTCTCGGGCCCACCTCGTCTACGCGGTCCCCTCTCCACGCGCTTGCCGGCAGGATCGACGTCATTATCGATCGTGTTCTTCTTGTTCGTACGCTCGCCGTGCAACCACGGGTTTTCGGTCCACGCGAGAAATTACGATTCTAGTACGCAGTTTTACACATTCCGACCACGCGATACTCAAAGTTCTGTCCGCGCTGTGCATCGTTGCAACAGTCCACGCATCCTTTAATTATAATCGACTAATATTAAGTATATATTTGTTTTCTGACCACGCTTATTTTGTGTTGTAAGGACGTTCGCTTGTATATGCTATTTTGTGTCATTAAACTTTCTGTTAACTCCACAAAGTGCGTACTCCCTTGCAGCCCGCTCCGACCACGCGATTTTCCGAACAACGAATTCATGCCGACGAAACAATATATTATGATCAAGGTTATTTATATGAAGATCAATAGCAAGAAACAATTGCAATGCCAGAAGACGTGTTCCTTAATAGTATTCGAAGTCTTAATATTCAACAGAAAGACTTATTAAAATCAGTTTCCGCAGTAATTGAGAAAGATATTAAAAAAAATGATGATGAAAATACGGAACAAATGCTACTTTTTAGTACCGGAGGAGCTGGTAACGGCAAGTCGTTTATTTTATAAAATAATTTTTAACAAAAAACAAATCCGACTTCGAAACGCACTAAAAAGTGTCAAATAATTTCTATTTCATTTATACCAATATTCCATAGCTATTAATAATATCTACTTAATCGTTAAATAGGATACCAAATTCATTTCAAAGTTGTCGGAGGCGGCGCAAGATTAAAAACTTTTCTTCTACTAGGAAGATCCTAGTTCAGGCGTCGGCAATCTATGGCTAATGACTCATTTCATAATTTCAAGTAAACTATATTCAACGGGAATCACTATATATCTTTACCATATCATCATCGTGTATCAGTTATCGTACGTCATATATTTCTGTCCACCATTTAAATGATCGCAAAGTAAAAAGCAAGCTGAAGAGAGGAATGACACACGTTATTAAAAATGTCCCTAGACCTAGTGAGCGCGCGAATTAAGTGTGATCTCTCGAGAATTGCAGAATACATGTACATCAGAAGTGCTACCAACTTCTGATACAATCGTTACAAATACGAATGTTTTCTGCCGTATCTATAACGTTTCGAATTTTTTTCTTACGACTTATTAATTACCAGGTTTGCCATACCGCAATCAAATCGTTATTAGCAGCATCGTATATTCGGGTATTTTTAATTTTGCGCCGCCTCCGAAAACTTTGAAATATATTTGGTATCCTATTTAACGATTAAGTAGATATTATTAATAGCTATGGAATATTGGTATAAATGAAATAGAAATTATTTGACACTTTTTAGTGCATTTCGAAGTCGGATTTGTTTTTTGTTAAAAATTATTTTTCATTAGAGAGAGGATGTTCGTAGAAACTAACAAAGTAAAAATACGCTTCACTTGGCTTTTGTTCCTACGTTTTACAGTTTTATTGCTCTGTCACAGAGCAACTGGCCTTTTCGGCGGATCTGGTTTATTTCACACGTACATTGCTAATGTCGCCAAAAACAGATACTTCCGCTCAACAGATAGTTATCCTCGTATATTAATACTTTTTGCTAATGATGTTAGCCATAAAGCTTCTCTAACGGATTCAAACAGCGCCATATATTCACCTTCTATTGAGGAAGCAGCTACCGATGCTTGTCTTTTAGTTGCCCAACATATTGTACATCGTTCGAAAAGTTGAAATAAGTATCCCGTTGTACTCCTTCTATCATTTTCATCATGACCACCCCAGTCAGAATCTACATATCCACTTATAATATCTTGATAATTATCTCTTACATAATTCAATTTAATAGTATTTGAACCTTTGAGATATCTTAATACACGTTTTAAATATTGCCAAAGTTCTTTATTATTTTTATTAGTATATCTACTTAGTATGTTCACAGCCGTACTTAAATCAGATCTTGTACATACCATTATGTACATTTCCTACATGATGCTTCATACTTTTCATCTGAATTTAAAGCTAAATAATCTAATTTACGTGGCAAAGGTGTACTAACTCATGCATGTTAAATTTTTCCAAAACTTTATTAATATATACAGTCTGATCTAGGGTTGTCGTTCCATTATTACTTTCAACTTTTATTCCTAAGAAGAATCTGATACTATTTAAATCTGTCATTTTAAATTTATTCATTAAATAACTTTTAAAACTGGTCATACTTTCTATATCCGCAGTAGCAATCACAAGATCATCCACATATAGAACTACATATATATTTTTAAATATATTTCCTCTATCTAAAAATAATTTGTTGAAATTCGCGCTATGCGTTAGATATCCTCGCGCCAATTTGCGGCGCCGTTTTGGCGCTTCCGTTTCGCGCCCTCGATGTTCGATTGTTCTGCGCTTGGACCTTGTGCTTGGAGAAAACGTTTTTGCTTGTTCTGAATATATTTTTTTTCCTCTTTTACTCATGTGGTGCACACTATCATTTTATTTGCCTTAACCACGCTTTGCTACCATCGACATAATTTTTAACAAAAAAAAATATCCGACTTCGAAATACACTAAAAAGTGTAAAATAATTTCCATTTCATTTATACCAATATTTCATAGCTATTAATAATATCTACTTAATCGTTAAGTAGGATACCAAATATATTTCAAAGTTTTCGGAGGCGGCGCACAATTAAAAACACCCGAACAAACGATGCTGCCAATAACGATTTGATTGCGGTATGGCAAACTTGGTAATTAATAAGTCGTAAGAGAAAAAGCGGAACGTTCTAGGTCCGGCTGAAAACATTTGTAATTGTAACGATGGTATCAGAAATTGGCAGCACTCCTGATGTACATGCTCTATACTGCAGTTCACGAGAGACTATAGTTAACTCGCGCAGCTTGCTAGGTCTAGAGAGATTTTTAATAACGTGTGTTATTCCCCTCTACAGCTTGTTTCTTATTATACTTTGCGATCATATAAATGGCGGGCAGAAATATATGACGTACGATAACTGATAACCGGTGATGATATTGTAAAGTTCCACGATACAATGAAATTCCTATTATTTTTCGAAAAGAAAATGATGTGAACACAAAGTAAGAAGCAAGCTGTAAAGGGGAATTACACACGCTATTATAAATCGCCCTAGACATAGTGAGCTGCGCGAGTTAGTGCGGTCACTCGTGAACTGCAGTTTAGTTAATTCGCAATGGGTATGTTGATTCCCGTTGAATATTGTTTACTTGAAATTATCAAATGAGTCATTTATCGTAAATTGTCGACGCCCGAGTTAGAATCTTCCTAGTAGAGGAAAAGTTATTAATTGTGCGCCGCCTCCGAAACAGGTTGAAATGTATTTAGTATCCTATTTAAGGGGGTAGACACGGCACGTGACCTCTCCGATTCGGGACGTCGGTATTACAGCAGATTTTTCTGCACCGAAATGGTAATACCCATAGATGTAGGGCAGGCCGATGAAA